TGTTAATATTTTCAAAACTACCATCCGGCGGAAAAACTTTTAAAAAATACTATAAACCATTAAACTTTTTGAAACGAACGATAATTCACTATTCAGCTAACAAAAAAAAACCATTATACCCCATAAGAGAGAGAGTGATTATCGATTTTGTGTAGGAGTACATGATATATCTTTTGGTCCATAATATTTCGTTTTTGTCCACACAAGTTCCACCATCATTTTTGTCCATGATCACCAGTTCTGTCTTTAACCACCACCGTCTTTGTTGCCATTGCCGTTTTTGTCCCCGACCATAGCCTCTATATTTGTCCACCACCATCACCAACCACTGTCGTATTTTCGTCCACAATGTTTTCGTCTTTGAGCACCACCGTTTATACGTATGTCCACCACCGCCTCCGTCGTTATTTTTGTCCACCATCGTCTCTGTCCTCGTCTTTGTCTACGACCAGCATCTTCGCTTGTCTACCACCATATTTGTCCACTGTCGTTTCGTCAACGTCTTTGTATACGTTTGTCCACCACCGTCTCCGTCGTCATGTTTTGATTTTCTAATTTTTCGGTTTCTAAAAAACAAATTTTATTCAGAAAACATTTTTCGCATCATTGAAAAAATTATTTTTTCGCTTAGGCTTCTCTAGAGCAACCAGAGGGTTTGTGAAACGCCCCGACCCAGATTCCCTTACCGCGGTGAGGTTCCGGATCGGTTTGTCCCGACCAAACTTGGCCATTTCAGTTTAACCTCTTTGATTTTTCCACTCTTTTCCTTTACTTAYTCATTTTCAACATARMTTCGATCWAGACAAMACTTYATAGCATAAAACGTTCAACTTAGATTAAATCGCAAGGTTTCAATACAATGATCAGTTTGCTACATAAGKTATTACATTGTAAAGACCTAGCTACCCGATTCAATCCACCATCCTTCCCTTTCCAGCCTTAGTCACCGCGGATCACACATTCGGATTCCCATCACGGGTAAACTCATTACCTGCATCCACAAAGGAGGCATAAGCAACAGAATTGCTTAGTGAGAGCGGTCGTCCCGTCCCACTTAGCCACAGAATAGATATCGCAATCAAACA